GTTATACATTATACACGGAATAACATGAAATCGAAGAATAATTGCCACCAGTGTTAACAATTAATTTTTTTTATTCAGGCTAGAGAGATAGCTTCATCAGGAGTTCCACCAATGGACACAACTGCTGAGGTGGCGCTGGTGTTAGTGAACACTGAAAATCATCCTCCTAAGTTCGCCAGTACTCGATATGAAGGCACAATTGAGGAAGGAAGTCCAGCGCTCACCGCAGTTCGATGGGAGGGCGCCACTATCTCCCGCATCACAGATAACGATCAAGTAAGATAGCCGTCGATTCCATAAAGTTTGGAGGAGTTCTTTTAACATTTTAAAATGTAATTAATTATTTTTTTCCAAAGAAACGTAATACTTCTTATCGAAGTTCTAGGTAAAATGTAATAATAATAAGAATGTAATAATAGAATATCATATAGTTTCTATTCGGTAAAAATACGATTTTATGAGAAAAATAAAAACCTATTCTAAAACAACGCAATTCGAGAAAAACTATTTTAAGATTCTCTTTTTAAAAAGCGATTTGTAAAATTGTTTTTGAGAAGAAAGGTTTCTTTTTAGATTCAAATAAAAAATAATTATTACTAAATTCATAAGTGAGTTACCAATAAATATTAACTAAATGATAGAAATTCAGTAATATCTGTTTGTATTTAAGTTACTGTTTGTGGAAGTTTTGCTAATATACGTTTTATCCAAACAATGCATCTTATCATATTGAAGTTGAATTATATCTGGAAGACTGCCATGCTAATAGTTATCAACTGTAGCACACATCTTAGTCACGTGTCTGTAATGAACTTGTAACATCTGTAGCACACATCTTATCTACGTGTCTTAATGAACTTGTAGCATCTGTAGCACACATATTATCCACGTGTCTATAATGAACTTGTAACATCTGTAGCACACATCTTATGCACGTGTCTGTAATGACCTTGTAACATCTGTAGCACACATATTATGCACGTGTCTATAATGAACTTGTAACATCTGTAGCACACATATTATCCACGTGTCTGTAATGAACTTGTAACATCTGTAGCACACATATTATGCACGTGTCTGTAATGAACTTGTAGCATCTGTAGCACACATATTATCCACGTGTCTGTAATGAACTTGTAACATCTGTAGCACACATATTATGCAC